CCTATAAAACGGAAATTTATCGAAAAATTCCTATAAAAAGGAAATTTATCGAAATGTTCCTATAAAAAGGAAATTTATCGAAATGCTCCTATAAAAAGGAAATTTATCGAAAATTTCCTATAAAAAGCAAATTTATGGAAAAGTTCCTATAAAAGGAAATTTATCGAAAAGTTCCTATAAAAAGGAAATTTATGGAAAATTTTCTATAAAAGGGAAATTTATCGAATTTATAAAAAATTTCCTATAAAAAGCGAATTTATTTAAAATTTCCTATAAAAATGGAATTTATTGAAAGTCATAAAAAGGGAATTTGTTGAAAATTTCCTATAAAAACGGGAATTTATTGAAAATTTCCTATAAAAAGGAAATTTATTGAAAATTTCATATAAAAAAAATCTATCGATGATTTTCTATAAAAAGGAAATTTATCGAAAATTTACTATAAATAGGAAATTTATCGAAAATTTACTATAAATAGGAAATTTATCGAAAATTTACTATAAATAGGAAATTTATAAAAAATTTACTATAAATAGGAAATTTATCGAAAATTTACTATAAAAAGGAAATTTATCGAAAATATCCTGTAAAAAGGAAATTTATCGAAAATATCCTGTAAAAAGGAAATTTATCGAAAATTTCCTGTAAAAAGGAAATTTATCAAAAACTTCCTGTAAAAAGGAAATTTATAGAAAATTTCCTGTAAAAAGGAAATTTATCGAAAATTTCCTGTAAAAAGGATATTTATCGAAAATTTCCTGCAAAAAGGAAATTTATCGAAAATTTCCTATAAAAAGGAAATTTATCGAAAATTTCCTATAAAAAGGAAATTTATTGAAAATTTAATAGTAAAGAAATTTATTGAATTTAAAAATCGCTAAAACAACATTACTGCATATATGAAGAGTAGAAGATAGAAATTAAGTTTAGATATTTTGGAGCATGCCACAACATACAAGTACAATTCATGCCACATACTCACCCGTACCTTTTCGACAAACATAGTAGACAATAAACAGGGATTATAACTACGTTAGCAATAATAAAACAACACAAATGTTTTTTTTCCAACACTGCATCATAAAACCCTTTTCTTAATGGGTTACCAGCTCTCAAGTCCAAAATCCTATATTTTATATATCGTAAGCCGAGTATTGAGTATGTGATGTTTGTTATTGTTTTTTGTTTTGGTGGCGGTTGGTTGCTGTTTTAAAGTCGGTTTTACTTTTTTTTTGTTTATAGTTTTTGAATTGTTGTTGTTGTTGCTGCTGTTGTTGTTATTATTGTAGTTTGTTGTTACTATTTTAACAACTTACGATAAAATCTTGTGACACGATCTTTTGGCCCAAACCAGGCGCCAGTAACCCACTTTAATAGATTTTATTTTGTTTATTTGTTTAAAACATTTAAAGTTTTTCTTCTCTAAAACAAACAAAAAGGGAGTTTCTCTTTTTTGTTTGGTTTCCAAAGACACAGTTACTGTTGTTGTTGCGTCTATTGCCAAATACAAGTTAACAATGTTAGTTACTAATTTATTTTAATGTTAATTTAGTTTTTTGTTTAGCAATTTTAACAAATGTCTCATTAAGTTTTGCAATATAAAAACGTTTGCCCCTCCATGCAGAGAATAATTTGCCACAACAAAATAATTTATTTTCATAAAAAGGACATAAACAATTAAAAAAATATAAAATATTATAAATTTAATTTTTTTGGCTAACATTCTCTAAAGTGGCCAAAATTACAGTGTGAGCACAGTATTTAATTGTTATTATTGATGAACCATTAATTGTGTCCATCAGCAAGACTCCTCCCAAAACTAATACCAGCTTAATTACTTGTCTGTGAGATTGTTTAGTCTTGTATTTTCTGCGGCCAGATTTGGCTTGATGGCCTAAGGCGTGTTTTTATATAAATCTATTAAAAAAAAATATAATTAAAATTTAATATTAGAATAAATAACGTTTAACAATACATAAACTGATGGTAACTGATGTTAGCCCGTGTTTTGAGAAGGAACAAGAAAAAGTGTTATATTCGTCTATGCCGAATTTTGTATACCCACTATTAAATCATAAGCAATCATGTGTAAAAATGAAGTGATTTTCGGAAGTTAACCATGTACATGGACTTAGATTATTAGATTCGTATTAATTTAAGAGTGGTTTTTGGAATTTGACCTTCAATAAGAACTTTGGATAACTATGGACCAGCTCTTTCGAATTTAAAAAGTGATTACTTTTTAAAAGCAAATGATTTTTGTTGTATTTTATCATAACTCTAAACTTTTGGAACGTTTTTTAGTAAGATGCGTTATATTGGGGTCCCTGACCTCACAATATTAACTATGTTTCGGTTTCTATATAAATTGTTTCGAATTTCATCACTATATCAAAATTATGAAGCCAGTAATGAGCGTTACTGCCATATAGCACCTACTATATGGTTACAGCCCTTTTCTAGAAATCTGTTGTTAAATAGGCGTCTCTACAGGTAGACAAAGCAGATCTGAGAACTGCTAGACTATTGACTAGACTATAGACTAGACTATAGACTAGACTATAGACTAGACTATAGACTAGACTTTAGACTAGACTACAGACTAGACTATAGACTAGACTATAGACTAGACTAAAGACTAGACTAAAGACTAGACTATAGACTAGACTATAGACTAGACTATAGACTAGACTATAGACTAGACTATAGACTAGACTATAGACTAGACTATAGACTAGACTATAGACTAGACTATAGACTAGACTATAGACTAGACTATAGACTAGACTATAGGCTAGACTATAGACTAGACTATAGACTGGACTATTGACTATACTATAGACTAGACTATAGACTAGACTATAGACTAGACTATAGACTAGGCTATAGACTAGACTATAGACTAGACTATATATAGACTAGACTATAGACTAGACTATAGACTAGACTATAGTCTAGACTATAGTCTAGTCTATAGTCTAGTCTATAGTCTAGTCTATAGTCTAGTCTATAGTATATACTAGTATATACTAGATACTATAGACTAGACTATAGACTAGACTATAGACTAGACTATAGACTAGACTATAGACTATACTATAGACTAGACTATAGTCTAGACTATAGTCTAGACTATAGTCTAATGAGCGTTACTGCCATATAGCACCTACTATATGGTTACAGCCCTTTTCTAGAAATCTGTTGTTAAATAGGCATCTCTACAGGTAGACAAAGCAGATCTGAGAACTGCTAGACTATTGACTAGACTATAGACTAGACTATAGACTAGACTATAGACTAGACTATAGACTAGAATATAGACTAGACTATAAACTAGACTATAGACTAGACTAGACTATAGACTAGACTATTGACTAGACTATAGACTAGACTAGACTAGACTAGACTAGACTATAGACTAGACTATAGACTAGACTATAGACTAGACTATAGACTAGACTATAGACTAGACTATAGACTAGACTATAGACTAGACTATAGACTAGACTATAGACTAGACTATAGACTAGACTATAGACTAGACTATAGACTAGACTATAGACTAGACTATAGACTAGACTATAGACTACACTATAGACTACACTATAGACTAGACTATAGACTAGACTATAGACTAGACTATAGACTAGACTATAGACTACACTATAGACTACACTATAGACTAGACTATACACTAGACTATAGACTAGACTATAGACTACACTATAGACTAGACTATAGACTAGACTATAGACTAGACTATAGACTAGACTATAGACTAGACTATAGACTATACTATATACTAGACTATATACTAGACTATAGACTAGACTATAGACTAGACTATAGACTAGACTATAGACTAGACTATAGACCAGACTATAGACCAGACTATAGACCAGACTATAGACTAGACTATAGACTAGACTATAGACTAGAATATAGACTAGACTATAAACTAGACTATAGACTATAGACTAGACTATAGACTAGACTATTGACTAGACTATAGACTAGACTATAGACTAGAATATAGACTAGACTATAAACTAGACTATAGACTATAGACTAGACTATAGACTAGACTATTGACTAGACTATAGACTAGACTATAGACTAGACTATAGACTAGACTATAGACTAGACTATAGACTAGACTATAGACTAGACTATAGACTAGACTATAGACTAGACTATAGACTAGACTATAGACTAGACTATAGACTAGACTATAGACTAGACTATAGACTAGACTATAGACTAGACTATAGACTACACTATAGACTACACTATAGACTAGACTATAGACTAGACTATAGACTAGACTATAGACTAGACCTATAGACTACACTATAGACTACACTATAGACTAGACTATACACTAGACTATAGACTAGACTATAGACTACACTATAGACTAGACTATAGACTAGACTATAGACTAGACTATAGACTAGACTATAGACTAGACTATAGACTAGACTATAGACTAGACTATAGACTAGACTCTAGGACTAGACTATAGACTAGACTATAGACTAGACTATAGACCTAGACTATAGACGAGACTATAGACTAGACTAGACTAGACTATAGACTAGACTATAGACTAGACTATAGACTAGACTATAGACTAGACTATAGACTAGACTATAGACTAGACTATAGACTAGACTATAGACTAGACTATAGACTAGACTATAGACTAGACTATAGACTAGACTATAGACTAGACTATAGACTAGACTATAGACTATACTATATACTAGACTATAGACTAGACTATAGACTAGACTATAGACTAGACTATAGACTAGACTATAGACCAGACTATAGACCAGACTATAGACCAGACTATAGACTAGACTATAGACTAGACTATAGACTAGACTATAGACTAGACTATATACTAGACTATAGACTAGACTATGTACTAGAATTTAGATTGAGTTATCTACAAACTTACGGATCGTAATTTTTCAAAAACTGGTTAATTCGAGTTCATATTTTTTATTAACAGTTATCAACTGTATATGTATGTATGTGATAGGCTATATTTAGTTTTAAACAAAATTACACTGTGCAAATTACTTTACATTTTTTTTAAAACACTTAAGCTCTAACACATTTCTCACGTTTGGTAATACGATCCACTTCACATTTTTCGAATGGGCCACATTTAACGTTGCCGCAATGAACCGAACCAGAACCACCTATAAAAACATGTTTGAAAAGTAAACAAATTTAAATATGTATTATATTGAATAAAAGTGTGCCAAAATTTAAATTTAGCTTTTTTAAATATTTACCATATTTATCTGGTTTGGTGCCATATTTATCACCACTATTTGTTAGCATGTGAGGAGCAACACAAGAATTTTGATTACACAAATTGGGACAACATTTTCCAGCTATGGAAGCACAATCACTGTCCTTGTAACAGCGAGGAGTGCAAACGTAATTTTTAGAGGCGGTGGGACAATCTAAATTTGTAATTAAATAGGTATAAAATTTTAATTTTTTTTATTTAAGAATCCTTACCTCTTGCCTGGATGGTCCATACAAAACTCAACAGCATTAGTAAACCAGTCAAATTAATTAATAGAAATTTAGCTGTCAATTAGTCAACAAAAACAACACAATTTGTTTTCTTAATACTTATTTAAGACAACAAAACGTAACAGTATTAATTATTATTTAACAAAATCTTACCCATTGTTGTTAAATATAATTTCCTTTATCTAACAGCTTCAAAAAAGCAAGTGTTTCGTAAAAAAATAAATAATATAGAATGGTAAAAAACCCACTTCAATTGAATATCAGCTGAACACAAAGATTGTGTTTACGTTTCGAACGAGAACTATAGCTAGACTGAAGATACAATACTTTTGTTTATAGATACGTACCTCCTCTCTTTTTTTTTATAAGTTGACAAGCTGTGTATTTTTATTTGATTTTTATTTTTTCTGTCTTTATGGTTTTTATTGTATTTTAATTTGTTTCTTTCTTAGAAACTTGGTACTTTTGCAATGAATACCCTAAAACCGGTTAATGCACAACATTCAGTGATAAGAAACCAGATATAAATGAAGTTTTCTTTCTTTTTTGCACATATTATGTGAGAAACTAGTTTTGCATTTTATAGCACGCGATTTTGTATGTTTAATATGTACCCAGCAAAAACTTTTGTAAATTGAAAAGTAAAGAGTTAAAAAGCTAAAAACGCCGGTTTTTACAACTTCTCCATTAGAATTTTAACTCCAAGCTTAACATGATCGCTTAAAAATAATTACTTATATAGGTACTTAAAAATAGGGAGCTAAAAAGTAAGTTGTTTTGGAAGTACAAGTCATTACCTACTTTTTGCTGGGATCAACATTAAGTACTTACCAGTTGATTACCTGTAAGTTATTATAAATATACTTAAAAGAAATGCGTGCAGTATGTAGTTGTCATTGAAAAGTAAGTTATTATGGAAATACAAGCCATTACCGAGTTTTTGCTGGGATTTTTATACGATTGACAATAAACAAGATCTGTATTAAACTTTTAGCAAAGATTAAACTTTTATATGGAGTTATATAGACTTTTTCACTCTGCGAAACGAAAATATTAGTCTGAGTCCCATTCGTCCCATAGACTAACCAAACGTGTTATGAACCAACCAAACATGATATTGTGTTCAAAGTTAGAGTTTTTACCAAAATCAAGTGTCTTCTGCAAAGAACTTTGAATGAAAATTTTTCAACATCTTTCGAATTAATGTAACATTTTCAGTCCATAAGGAACTATGTACTTATATGACTTCAATATTAATGATAATATTGGAATTTTTTCTATAAGCAGGTAGCGCTCCCCTGATTAAATTCTTACAATGTAGGATGGTCTATCTAATATTATTTAGTTGGGGTCCCTGCGTAGGAAGATTACTACGGTAATAAACATATAACGTTTTAAACGAGAGCTGCTTTAAATATCTCAAACGCTGGGGTCTATTAAAAGTGGCATTCTTCCTTCAAAATCTGAGAACGGATTAAACAATATTGTCACATATTGAGTGGCCGTGTTAATAGGTCCTCATTCAACCCATTATAGACGGGATATACATATTCAATGAATATTGTCGCGATTGCAATTATAAATTGAGATCAGAAAAACACATGATATCGGGCTTATTCTGCTCACCTTTACATGGACAGTTTGTGTGGTGATCGCATACCATTGAACGTTCGATGTTTGTATATAGCCTTCCAGTGCGGCCAATATTTATACATTGATGCTTGTCCTATAACCGAATTTGGCCAATTCATCTAAAATTAAAAACCGTTCAATTGTAAGTACCGGTGAATCGAGGGGATATCCAGCAACTTTTCCAGAGTCATGGTTGTCGTAGTGGTTATAGCCGTATTTATGTCGCCAATGGTTTTACATTACAAATTTGTAAACGATTTCAGAAAATTTTACATGTAAAATCTGGTAGGAACAAATCGTCCATGCGGAAAGCCCAAAGTCGCCCAAGTACTACATAACATTTAATTCTGATTTGTATGGCAACATATCGGTCGATCTTCGCCAATGATAAAATTTTATGAATTAAATATTTTTAAGAAAAAAATAAATATAATTACAAACTAAAATATTATTGTTACTACATTTCGTAATTCCTGATTTTTTTTAGAATTAATTAAAAATCATGGACGTACAAAAATTTAAAAACTAACACGAATTACTCAATATATGTATATTAAATAACGGAAAATTATAGCCACATTTATAGATATTTACAATACTTTTATGATACAAAGTAAAAGTGCAAATATAATTTAACAAATTTTCAATTCTAACTAAAAATAGTTTTTTTTAACCTTTTTACTACGCTTCTGATAATTAAATACTATTTATTTATGAAAACGCTATTTAAGTTCATATCGTATGCATGTTTGTTTTTTTGTTATATCAAGTGTGTTTGCCTTAAATGAAATACTTAGTTACACTGTTCTACAAATAAATATCACTTTAACATTTTAATTTTGGACTAAAGCACTGTAATTTTTAAGGAAATATATAAAAATAATTGCACTTGTGAGAAATCATTCAAGACTTGTGGAAAATTTCTATTAGCTCAGTGTAATTTCCATCTGTAATTTTTTAAGATATTCTTAGTATGAATGGATTTAATTTTAATATTGTTTATATGTTATTTAAATGGATTTCACTGAGTAATTAAACAAATACTTAATAATAAATAATTACATGACTAATAGAAAACAAGCTATTTATTTATTACTAGTAGTGCCCGGTCCGCTTGCAGACCACTGATTAGACATGCAGATTTTACACGTAAAGACCTATATACCTCTCAAATATTAAAATAATCGATAGATTGATAGATAGATAGATAGATAGATAGATAGATAGATAGATAGATAGATAGATAGATAGATAGATAGATAGATAGATAGATAGATAGATAGATAGAAGATAGATAGATAGATAGATAGATAGATAGATAGATAGATAGATAGATAGAATAGATAGATAGATAGATAGATAGATAGATAGATAGATAAGATAGATAGATAGATAGATAGATAGATAGATAGATAGATAGATAGATAGATAGATAGATAGATAGATAGATAGATCGATAGATAGATAGATAGATAGATAGATAGATAGATAGATAGATAGATAGATAGATAGATAGATAGATAGATAGATAGATAGATAGATAGATAGATAGATAGATAGATAGATAGATAGATAGATAGATAGATAGATAGATAGATAGATAGATAGATAGATAGATAGATAGATAGATAGATAGATAGATAGATAGATAGATAGATAGATAGATAGATAGATAGATAGATAGATAGATAGATAGATAGATAGATAGATAGATAGATAGATAGATAGATAGATAGATAGATAGAATAGATAGATAGATAGATAGATAGATAGATAGATAGATAGATAGATAGATAGATAGATAGATAGATAGATAGATAGATAGATAGATAGATAGATAGATAGATAGATAGATAGATAGATAGATAGATAGATAGATAGATAGATAGATAGATAGATAGATAGATAGATAGATATCTTCAAATGTGTTATGTATCAATCGATATAATCCTTCCGAAATTCGCGTATATAACCTGTTTTGTTTAGAGTTTTTTTGCATTGGTCGAAACAAATAGTAGTCGGACAGTGCAAGATAGGCCAACAAAATTTCTCAATTTAGCAACATATAGTTTTAACTGATCAAGGTCTCTTCGGAATTAATGCGGTTCCTCGTAACATTTTGATATTGCCATTTGAGTACCTTTTGACGAATCTTCATGGAGTAATACCTCCAATTTTCGGTTTCCAAACTTTTTTGAACAATCTTAATATGTCCGTCCCTCGGTTTACCTGCTTTAGCTCGATGAGACTTAAATTGTTCAAAAACACTCTGAAATAATGCTGTTATTCGATCTGAAATTCTATTGTAAAGTATAGCGATTACCAGGTCATATTTGTCCTAACTCCAGTACACTTCTTATAAGACCACTTATGACCAAATATATGATTTTGTTAATAAATCGTGGAATTCACTCTACAATAGATGGAAGTACTAAATTTTCAATATTTAGTGTTAAATATGACATATATTTCGATATGGATGAACAACATTTTGACTTCTCGAATTAATGTGCATTATTATGCCGATATTAAACATCTTTTATAATTTAATGTTCAAATGAATTTTTTATTAAATAAATCGTTCTTTTAAAAAATTTCAGATGAATATTTATAATGCAAAATTATAGAACAACAATTACAACAATAACAAATTATTTTTATAATGATTTAAAAACCCCAGTGGGTACCGAAACCATCAAAACTCATATGAGAAACCATCTCAGCTGGGGAGTAGTGAACAGTTTGGCTTGAACCATAAGCAGAAACGGAAGGAGAATTGTGAGTGTAAGTGGTGGCAGCAGGTCCATGATTGTATGTAGTAGTAGCAGTGGAAGGTACTTCATGTTGGTGGGTGTAAACAGCAGCAGTGGGAGCAGGTGAAGCATAAACTGCATGGGCAGGTTGTTCATGAGTATAAACTGTATGAGGAGCAGATGAAGCATAAACGGCATGAGTTGGTTCCTGATGAGCATACACAGCGGTGGGAGCGGGAGCATAAGCTACAGTCTTGGCAACAACAGGAGCAGCATAAGTAACAGTCTTGGCAACAGCTGGTGTATAGACATTGTTATTTACACGGGTATCTTCCTTATGGACACTGGAGTAAGGAGTATGAACCGATTTCGAGTATTGGGACACAGTACCGCCGAAGGAACGTACAACATTTTGATGAGTAGAAGCAACAGCATCCACAGCTGGATTAGCAACTTTAGTTATAACAGCGGGAGCAGCAGCATAATGGGTAGGAACAGGAGCCAAATAACCAGCGCTAGCAACAGCCAAAAGAGCAGATAAGACAACAAATTTAAAAGCCATTTTTAGAAATGTTTGGAAATGTTTTAGGTCGGTAATTAATTTTTTATCCAAATGTGTACAATTGTAACTCCAGTAACTAACTGATATCGAATTATTCAAATTCAACGAGTTTTATACAAATTTGAAATTAAATTTGTTTATTATAATTACTTAACAATATCAAAATAATATCAATCAATAGATGTAAATCCCAAAAAACAACAACAAACATTATTAATCCATTTCAATGTTACTTTAAGATATTTTAGGAGATCTATAATTAACTTTTGATACACATATTTTGTTTGTATAATATTTACCATTCGAAATCTATGAATGAATGAAAATTTCGTGCAAGTCCAGCGCATGCCGTACGCACCCATGACTTATTATTTCTTATGATCTATAGCTTT